GAAAAAATATGTCATTGAGTTTTTATGAAAATATTTTTTCGGACCAAAATTTCTGTCAAAAGATCGTATAATGGATTTGTTACACCTTTAAAAATATATTCTGACATAAACTTTTACCTCCGTGTTTACCTGACTATAAAATTCTATAGATTGGTTTGAAAATACAGAAAAGTTGGTTTGTTGATTGTAATTTATTAGTCATAGTTGATCACTAGACATGGGATTATAGTTATAAAACGTTATACAAATAGCATGCATAAAGTGAAACCACTTTAAATTAATATTACACTATACAAATTTACTTAAAATGTATTATAATTTATAATTGGCAAATAGTAAAGCATATTATTTTAAACTTCGATATTATAGATTTATCTTTTGATATAATATAATATTTTGTTATGCCATTGTGAAAATTACTGTGACAAACTCATTGATGACTTCGAACTTTGAAATTTCTAAAATAAACATAAAACGTAATATAAAACTGTCACGTTGTACGATACTGGTGGTGGTTTGGCCCTGATGTGTTTTTCAGTGATTATAATAATTACGTGATACACTCAATATATTATGTCTCTTTATGGTAAATCAGACTGAACATCACAGTGCAATAACCAGTGAGAACCAAAATATAACCTACTATAATACGCTATGTAATATTATGGTTATCAATGAATAACCGGTGGTACATTTTCCTAGCTACCAAACTTCAGCAGGTTTCCAATTGTTTTTTACACGATAGTATGTATTATGGATATACTTACTTTATATATTTTGTTTTCATTAATATTAACTCTCACATGACTAAGACTCTATAGTTAGTATCACAGATAAGCCGCAGGCCTGCAGTTCACGTAGTAATATTAAAATATACAAGCTCACTTGTACATTTAATTTACATAACTTATTTGTATTCTTCATTCTATGCTCAGTGACGTACGCGTTTCATAGTTATGATATATAATAAGTTACATTACATTATACAGCGACTTGGTATCAATAACTGACGCAGACATTGAATTATTAATTAATTTCATTATAACCCTAACACCTTTGGGTAATCTCGGATTTCCGGGGTCGTGTAGAAATAAATAATCAGATCATTTTGTCGCACGCATTCTGTGTAGTGATGAAGGGCTTTCGCTTCATGTTAAGTACACACGAGATCATTCATATTTTTATTTTGGGTTTGCACTCTCTACTAATTATTCATATTGTGCGATCAAAGTAACTTATGAAAACGGCATATTTGTAAAATATTGAATACAATTTTTTTTAGAATTCGATTCTGATTTAAACAATTGCTTTGAAGTGTTTAACTTACGCTTTAAAGCTACTTGGTGGGAAGATTTATCTGTATGTTCTGATAACTGAGACTTTTTAATGCGTGGTTTATTCTTGTAGTCTAGATCTTATTGCATTTTTTCTATCGGTAGTAATATGCAAGAAGATCTAGTCTACAATAATGCTACTAAAATACTATGTCTTTGAAATGTGAATATCTAATTTCCTGTGTACTATATGATTACATTCCTTTATGTCCTTTATATTATCCATCCTTGTACCTAAATATTATTAATCTCGTAAATGCAATTTAAAATACCTACAATAAAATGATAATTTATCATTTCGTTTTCATCATATCCTTGAGACGATTTAATATGAAAAATTATTAGTCTGCATTATTATTTATAATATAATAATAATAATAATAGTTAATTACAAATAGTTTTGAACAAAAATAAAAACATCAGTACTATATATTATTATGTCTGTAATTTTATTAGCTTAAAAGTAACTCTAATATTGTGCAGGGGATACAATTAAAACGCTTCGATTTACTATCCCTAGTTATTACTTATTAGGTACTTGATTTTTTTGATTTCTTTATGGCTATATACACGGTGATCCATTTAAGATGGTATACTAATTATATCAAAAAGTATTAACTCTTTTTGAATTTTTTAGATTTATACTTTTATAAAACTGAATAATATTAAAAAAATTTTCCCCGTATTATATTAATTGGTGAAAACACTATCATCTTCTGATTTTCAAATAGGAACATATAATATGATAGAAAGGTCATAAATTGATAAAACCATTTTATTTATAAATATTAGCATTTAAATTTTTATTTTGACTTATTTTGCTTGTGAGATACAGCTCCTCAAGGTTTGGTGGTGTAAAGAGGTGTCGATTATACTATTTATTCATTTTTAAATACTATGAGCTATCAGTGGTGAATTCGATACCATTCAATCCAAGGTAACAATTAATAAGTGGTAACTATATTGTACTTTGAACATAAATAATTTATTAGCCTATCGACTAATTAGACATACCGAATAACGACGAATAGTTAGTAGAAAACTGGTTATTTGGATTAACTGTATATTTGTAGTACTACTGACTAAAACACCTCCTTAAATCAACAAACTTTAAGAAACTGTAGCTCACATACTGAAAAGCGGAAAATAAAAATTTTTAAAGCGAAAATTCACAAAAACAAATAGTTTTATCAAATTATGACCTTTTTACTATATAAGCCCATTTGAAAATCAAAATTTGATAGTGGTTTCACCGATAAATATAATAGTGAAAAAATTTAAATATGATACAGTCACAGAAAAGCAAAATCTAAAACTTTAAAAAAAAATTCAAAAAAGTTAAAACCTTTTGAAATAATTAGTGTTCCCTCTTAAATTAATCACCCTATATGTATATTATATCCTGGATAACACGTTATTATTTATGTGTTTGTGGTGTGATAAAATAATTTTAGTTTCATAGGTCGATTTATAATTAAAGAAAGTTTAACTGTTTTTATTCGCTTTAAAATTTTAAAATTCATGACACAGATAACTTGGCGTTTTCTATAAATATTGAAGTAGGTTTAAATTATAGTCCAACGTATACATTTATTAATACTACTTTTAGGTCCGAAATCCAATTTCGTTTGGTTCAAGTGAAATACACTAGTCTGGTGTTATTACTACGATATCTTAGTGTAAGATATTAGGTAGATATTATACATTACTTATATTCAGGTCAAATCCAGAACCATACAAATGGATGGATGGATTATTGTTTTTTTTTTTTATGAATTCATTTATTTCTTAACTTGTATCAAGTGATTGAAAATTGTTTATATTTTGTCTATTAATAGTATTAAGATAAATAGTTAGACTTGTTATATGAAAATTAACTTCCCAAATGTTTCACGAAATAATATATTTTCCGATGTTTCTGAAGGTAAAAAATGGGGGAATGGATATAAATTATTAAATCTAAGAAACGGTGCGATATTATAAGGAATAATATTGAGCGGAGCAGATACTTGGGTAGGTTAGGTCAAATCCATCAACAACGTTGTACGGAATTTAGCAAGACGTAACATGTACATAAATAAGTACACCACAATATATAGTTATTATTATTAAATGTATGACTATCTGAGTGTCAAGGGTAATCGTTGTTAGATGGAATATTTCGGAGGAGTATCTTTTTGTACATAATTTTATGTGTAATAGTATAAAATAATGCTGTATATAATTAAAACACCGTTCATATCGTGTGAGTTTCGCTCGATGAAAGAAACCGTTTTCTAGTCTCGCATTTGTCAAACTAAAAATATATATTATTCATATAGAATATGATGGGAAACTCCAGCGGACTGCAAACATTAAATCATTATTATGATATGTTACCTATATCCAGTGAATTCCGTTTAATGCGATCACCGGCCAATAGTATAATGCTTCGTGAAATCAAAAAAGGAAAACCACTTTATGTTTAACTGCTTAGGCCCCAGCCCACCATATACCTTTTTTAATGAAATAATCTTAAGGCCATCTGACAAAAATAATGGCACTCCATATCAATAGTTATATTTTAAAAATGCAATTTGCACAAGAATTTATAATTTTAATTTGCAGCATGTATAGGTTATTTTTATACTTAAAATGAAAATTCAGTCATTCACTATTTGGTATTAAGACATATTTTGTTAAACGAATTATATTTTACGTTTTACCCTCGTCAACAATTTTCTAAAATTGAAAAATTTTTTTCGACACAAATTCAGTGTTTACATGTCCACATGCCACCAAAATATATTCCTTAAATAGGTGCCTAATAAAGTATTTTAAAATACAACACCCATAGTCTTTAATTCTAAGCCTAAGTATTTAAGTATTTATAAAATCGGAATTTATAAATGTATCAGTATTTATGTAAATACGTAATATATGAATAAAATGGATGTGAACGAAATTGATAAATCCCGCTGTATATATACTAATATATAGGTACAAACATCATAAATAATACCAGGTGATGACATATATTTATAAATACTAGAACTAGCGCAGAACTTTTAGCAGCTTTATCGGAAATCTTCGACCATAGCCTCATTTTCAGGTACCACCGATCACAACTGAATACAGAATTTTCAAAGGTTAGATTATCTTTAATTAATGCCAATTATAATATAATAATGTTGATAACTATATTATATAAAAATATGAGAACTTCCAATAATTCCCATAATATAACTTGGATACCAATGGCTAATGGCCAATGCCATTGTCAGTTTTTATTTAATAAAACAAATAAAACAATAATATATAATTCTTCTTTATATGTGGGTATACGTATTTTATTTTATTTAATATAATTAACGGTATATTATTATTATATACCTAATACCTATATTGTATTATTGCCGTTACGTCGGTGCTGATTAATTAAATATAGAGTGGTGTCGCATTATGTATTGTTACAGTTATACACTTTTAACTGGTGGTAATAATTAACCAGTAATTGCGTTTGCACACCAAGTGTGTAAAAAAAAAACAAGTTATTTGCGCTAGTCTGCAGATAGGGGGATGAGCGCTGTTTTGAACGTAATATATTCGATTTACATAGTATATTGTATTTCTATTTTGATGTTGTAAAGTTAAAACATTTTTTAAAAATGTCATTTTGATATATAGGGAAGAATGTCACAGGGATTGGTTGCGGTTGAGGAAAACGCCGCTGTTCGGATGCATATGCCCGCAGAATCAAGTCAAAAAACGATGCGATCGAATTTTTTCACTGATAAATGAAAACCCGTGCATCAGTGAGTATTATACATTTTTTTTGTATCGATTGTTTGATAGTATCTATCTTAATTATTACTTTAAGATCTAATCTTAAACAATTATGACTAAGAGAGCTGAATATAACGCCAAACGATAAAACCCATTCTCAGATTAATCTAATGGACTATTGATGCGTTAAGTCCCGTAGCTTAGTGTAACTGCTGAAGTTCAATCAAGGATGGGGGTTATTTAAATACTTAATTATTTTATTACATATAACCTATAGCATTGATTCAAACATCACCAATAAAAAATTCCACAGACTTGAATCCATCCATCACCCCCCCCCTCCCTCAACTATGCTACTAAATCCATCAATTTTATTACTGATAATTTCTGAAATAAAATACATATACATTGGAACACATCACAGTTAGGGCTTAAGTCACTTGAATATAGCAGAAGGACAAGTCCGAGAGAGGTGTTACTAGTTAATATAACTTCAATATCATCAACCGACCATTATACATAAATTCACCATCAATCCGCAGGCATGTGGTATTCTATAATGGGTTTAATGTAATGCAATTTTTGGTTGGTAATGCATTTTTAGAAGTTTTTGAAGATAGGATGTTATGTTCAACTATTTATTATTCCATTTGACAAAGAAAAAACAATATTATATACAGCAGACACCGACATGAAGGCTCTTGAAAGAGAACCATTTTTAAGGGGTTGGGTTTAGATAATATCTCATATTCATCGTGAGTGATGTGTGACTGTGTGCGACTGTGTGCATAGTGACTGATCATTAGTGTGGGTGCGTTCCCTGAACGTTTTATGTTATTAAAGATAAATTACGGATAAGATTCTCGAAAATCCGTAACGTACATACTCGCAGTCACACCTCACTATATGCATATTGCGATCAAAAAAGTTTCAAGACGAAAAGTGAGGAAGAAAAATTCACCTAATACAAAAAACTCGATTTTAATTATGAAAACATATTTGAACTCTATATTCTCTTTTCTAGATTGTGTAGGAAATGAATTTCCAATCTGTTTTATTGTTTAATTAGAGTAGTACCAATTTTTTTTTTCAAAATTCACCTTTACTTTAATATAACTAAAAAAAAATTGTTATCCTATATATTCTAGAAAAAAGAGAATTCAAATATTTTTTCAACATTATGATTGACCTTCTGGAAGTATATATATTTTTTCTACTTATATTGGTGTAAATTCACCAAAAAACGACGAAATAACGACCCGCTGCCAATATCTTTAACATGCTGTGAAAGAAGATAACACAATGTTGCAAACAAACTATTTGCCTTTTTAGTTATTTTTATATTTATTTTGTTATATTTGATGAAGATATTATTATTAATACTATGCAAATATTTACAATTAGTTTAGATTGAATTGGGTAATCAAATATATGTTTGTATAATATTATTTGAACTAAAATTACACAACTAGATGATATTTACTATCGCCGAATAAGAACATTTCCCTAAAGTGAAATAAGTTTTGCCCACAGGAGTGATAATAACGATAAGTGGAAACACCACTCAAGACCCTTGTTGCTCAGACTCTGAACTATAATATTGTTTATGAACTTTTCATTTCAATTTAACCGTAATTAAAAAGTTTTTTTATTTAGCAGTTCATCTATTATGTTTTACTTAAATATAACAGTAAATTTGTTTTGAATAAAATCAACAAAAGCCATTTTCCCCAGTTTTGAGATTAAAATTGAATTTAATAAAAGTAACCTAACCTACAGTGACTCTTTATATATACTATATACCTAGTACTTACGTTTGCATTTCAATACATTAGATTGTACAAAACAGATTTGTAGGACAAAAAAACATCATCGTATATTTATATCGTATATTTAATACAACTTAAAAATATTTTCTAAAACTTATTTTTTCACTTACCGTAGTTTTGTAGTGGTTGTTTATTGGTACGCATAAGGTCTGAGTTAAGTATTTTATTTTCACATTTTGTCGATAAATTGCAGTACAAAAAAAAAAAAAAACCACTTCTAAATCCTATTAAATATCTAATCCACTGCATACGGTAGGTACCAAAAGTATATAAAGAAACTATAATAACCGACTGACAGTCAGTACGTACGCGCAAGCTTCTTCTTTTGTACAGCAGCTTTTCATCGATTATTTAATCACCGTAAACCCACCCTGCACTTCGAATTCAACGTCCCAACATTCAATATACATGTAACGGCGGGATTGGAAGGAGAATGTTGGTGCACAAAGCGATTTTCAATAAAAGCCGTCCACGGGATTGCCCAGTAAAAATAATTGCGATTGTGCAGCCTCACTTAAAGAAATTTACGATCCAAAAGGCCATTACCTCAGTGTACGTACGTGGACCCGTTGACGGGATGAAGTTGGTTTTTTTTTCAATACCATCCCTTACACATAGTTACATTATTGTTATTAAGTATATAAGAAAAACGTTTTAGCGTTTCTAATGGAATTGGTAACAGGTCAAGTCATCAGTTGTTAGACTTTTGAACACTTTGTTAACAACCAATAATCATTAATGAACGAAACAAATCTCAACTGGTAAAATCTAAACTGAACGTTTCGTACCCGGCGGAAAAAAAAATACAATGAATGAAAAAAAACATTCACCCGAACAATTTAAAACGGCATACAAAATCTGCTGCAATATATAGGTATAATATACATTTAAGTTTGTATCAACACTATAATATTTTGAGATGCAGTAATAGGTGGTTCTTTTAACATAAGCCAAATAATACCCACATGATATAAAAATTTAAAATACATTTATAAACATTCAAAAAGGTATAATATTTTGAATTTTTATGTGATTATCAGTACCAGTTTATTTTTAAGTTTAATACAAATATTTTAGTTAAATCCGTGTATTTAACAAATAGTGCCTGATTTATGATAAAATAAAATTATGAAATTATATTATATACGAGTATAGGTAATAAGAAAGTTACCAAAACCGAACTCTATTCTAAACTTTAAACGACTTGTTATGTACCATTTTGAATAAACCTAACATAATATCAATTGACGAAAAGATATATTATTTTTAAAACCCTTTTACGACTATTCACATTAAGCCGCACGATTTCATCATATCTAACGTGTGTCTTTTATGCATGCGATTCAGGTGATCAGATTTGAGATACAAATTTCGAGTTCTAAGTGTTTTGAATCACTACTATAATATTGCTTGGTCCTGATTTTCTAAAGTAGTCATCAACATTTTTTTTTACCTGCTGGTTGACTGACTTGACTATAGTATTGAGAACTTTTCTAGATAAATTGTATTTATACTTAATTTTATCTATGGAGAGAATAAATAGTGAGAAGATATCTAAATAATAATCGATGAAAACATTTCACTTAGCTTTCTAGATAATTGAATTGTATTTGATAATATATTTTTTTTTAATAATAGGTAAGCCTTGTCAAAAACAAAAGTAATATTATAATAACAAAAATCTAAAAATATGTATATTATACAGACAATTTCATTATTTTGTATCGGTGACGTTTGATACCCATAATGTACTAATGCGATTTGGTTTGAATTATTAGTATGAGTGGTTGAATATCAAACAAATAGATAATTGATTAGGTAATTATTAGTAAATACGAGTATTTAATACTAAATAGTAATAATTTACTCGATATAAATTTCACACACGGGAAATGGTACACTAACCAAACTTCGAAAAACGAAGAAAATAGCTACTCAGAAGTATAAAAATATTGTTGCTATCGACGAAATTAAATATACCTACTGGCTACGTTGATAATTGTGATCTGCAACCGTCAACTGACTATTGGCAGTCATAGCCGACACGGTGCAGTGGTAGCATAACGTAACTTAAATGTATCTTTTTGGGAAACAATAGTTTTTTCAAGAGTTATTATTTTTTTACATCATTTAGTGTGTTTTTTTCAATTGAAGCATTAGGTTGTAAACACATAATATTACATTTGATTTATTTGATATTTATTGATATGATAATATTTGTTTAATATTTTATATATATTTATATTGATATAATATTTAATATAAATATTTTGTTAAACGGAACAATTTTTATAATATAATATACAACTACAACCCACATTTAATATTCAAAATACAAATTATACAAAAAAAAAATTATTTATTTTAGTATCATTTAACGGAAATTCTAGTTACATTTTTATCTGGTATCATCATAAACTTTTAATTCACAACAATTTCAAAATTAACTGTTTGATGTCCTGTAGGTATAGTTCGAGTAGTACATCTAGGTGGTTTCTTATATTGATTCGGTGATGATGAGGATTATAGATGCAACATTTGGTTTAAATGAGTTAGTTCAACATCGTAGGTTTCGCATATAGGGTACATAGGGATGTCTATTTTCTTCCGTTGACATGAGAAAAATGTGTGTAAACCTGATGTAGCCTATGGGTAAATTATTTGATATAATTTCTTATTTCTTTTTTAAATTCGGGTTTTCTCATTAGGTGAAAGTTATTTTATTTTGTATCTTGATTCTTTATAATTGTGGCGATTTACTTAACATGTTGTTTATTAAACATTGTGAGATGATTTATTGATAAAATTGATTTTAATATTATTTGTGCCTATTTACTGTTTTCAACTATTGAAGCTTTTTATTTCATTTGATTTATTTGTGTCCTATAACTACTATTTACTTGTTTAATTTAAATGATTTTATTGTTTTATTTTGTATTTTCATTGAAAATATAATAACTCCTGGAATATAATAATTGAAGAAAGCTTTTGAGAGTTTTTTTCACGTCACTGTGTATTATATATTTTCTATATTTCTCTTTAACTATAGACTACAATAGCTAGTTCCTTTACTGGAAAAATCGAGCAGTTATCGGGGAGCTTATATATCAGTTAACTGTAGAATATTATTGAGATAAACCTATTTCATTGTCGGGGGATTAGTCTTTCCTGTGTAACTTTATAGTTTACTAGTTTTATAC